ATTCGGAAGCCTTAGCATTGCTTGTTTTCATAACTATTAACAGGCGAAATAAAACATCCCCGTGCTTTTGGTGATTGGCTTCCCAGCCTCAGAAATGGTTTATATTATAGCTGGGGCCTTACTTCCTACTTGCATAAATATTTAATGCTGTCATCTTCATTTTTTTTTCTCCGAACAGCTTCTCAGAGGAGCCGAACACACTCACACACACACATATATATACGGAGACATATGTCTATGGCGCTGGAATACCCGGCCAACTGGTAGCTTCTCTCCCATAAACCAAATTGAAATGAAAAAAAAAAATATTCAAAAAAAAAAAAATCTCCGAGACTTAGAGACGTGCCTTGCATCTCTACCTGGCCAATAATCTGCAGCAAAAGCAAAGAGCTCGTTTTTTCACTGCTTCTTTCTCTTTTTCTCTCTTCCCCCCTCGCCCTCTCCAATGGAAATTTTGTTGCACAAAAAACGCAACGCAACAGCACCCAACCCCCAGCCATGGTGGCACACTTTGTGAGCCGGAGTGGTGCTAGCAGATTTTTTTTTCACTTCACTTCGTTTCGTTTCATTTAATGAAAGTAATTTTTAGCACAAATTGTGTCATATCTAAATTTCAAACCACGAAATATATTTCTATTTTTTTTCTACGGCACTTAATCATGATTTATGAGGGCAATTTGCGGACAACGGAGTGTGACACATAAACACACATTCGCAGAATTGGGTAAATGGAATGTGAAAAGGGTTCGATATGGAGAAAGATTTATAACGTGGAGATAAAAATTGAAAGCAAAAAGTGATTTTTTTGGAAATACAATTTCGACACATGCGGATTTTTATACCCTCAGCCATAAGGCTAGAGAGGGTTTATAGCACTTGATATGGCCAAAACGTACCTCTTGGAAATAACGATCTAAGGCCATAGGTCTCTTTGGACGAAATTTGTTTCAGAAAATTTGGAGTCGATCTAGCGATGTCCGTCCGTCCGTCTGTCTGGCTGGCTGGCTGGCTGGTGCGTACGATAACTCTCGAAGGGAGTATCCAATTTGATCAAAACTTGATACATCGTAATATTATTGTCAAACTTAGATCGAATTCGGAGATGGCCAATATCGATCTACTACTTTCGGTACATCCCCCACAAAAGGTTGAAATGTTCAAAGAGAATATTTTATTGCAAAGTAAGAGAAAGGATAAACCAATTTTTTTCCCAACTCGCAGTAAAAATTTGTTACGTTTGTACTCGGGAGGATCTTTGTAAAAAAATCATAAAATTTCTTTCTTGTAGCTCTGAAGGTTAACAAATTCTGAAAAAAAATCTGAGCCTATAGCTGGGAGAATTCTAATTAAATTATTTAAATAAAAACCTGCACATATACTTCGAAGTGTTTTGTTGAAAAAATCGTTTTTTGATTTTTTTTTAAAGTCCACATTTATTTTTTTTAGTATTGCCCTGTTTAAAAAATCTTAAAAAACAAGCTTATAGTTCGGAAGGGGATGCTTGTTGAAATTTTCTCAGCAAAGCCCTGATTGTAGTTGCAAGGGTCCTTTTTTCAAAAATTCTTGAAAATGACCTCTTTTTAGGTGAGAGGTTCCTTGTTGAAAAAAATCATTAACAAATCGTCGGTTAAAAAATCATAATAAATACGGGATTATAGTAAGGAGGATCCTTACTTACCTTAAATGCTTATAGTTATTCGGTCCATATTTAAAAATTCTATAAAAATCAAGAGAGTCCTTTTTTAAAAATTCTTTAAAATCACCTCTTTTTAGGTGAGAGGTTCCTTGTTGAAAAAAATCGCCGCTTAAGGCAAGAAGGGTCCTTGTTAAAAAAATCAGGAAAAGAAACAGGTTTATAATAAGAAGGATCCTTTTTGAAAAATTCTTAAAAATACCGCGCTATTTTCTTGGAATGTCCTTGTGGAAAATTATTAAAAAAAAAAAAAATCTGTTATACTTTCGAGGTCCCTTGTTGAATTTTTTCAAAAAATCCATGATATGGAAAGCTCTTTGTTAAAAAAAAAACTTTAAAAACACACCTATAGTTCGGAAGGTCCTTGTAAAAAACCTGAAACATTCCTCGTCCGGGTAACGGAGAGTCCTTGTTGATAAATTCTTTAAACAAATCCGTACTTATAGTTGTGTGGTCCTTGTTCAAAAATTCTTTAAAATCAAGTCCATAGTTGGGAGAGTCCTCTTTTAAAAATGCTTGAAAATCACCTTTTTTAGGTAAAGGTTCCTTGTTGAAAAAATTCGTAAAAACTCGCCGCTTTGAGGTAGGAGGTTCCTTGTTTAAAAAAAATTAAAAAAACAGGATTACAGTAGGGAGGATCCTTTTTAAAAAGTTAGGTTAAGGTCCTTGTTTAAAAAATCTTAAAAAAAGGATTTTATTAAGGAGGAGACATTTTTTTCTCAAAATTTCTCATTTTAAAATATTGAATAATTCATGCCTCAAAAAGTGATCACAAATAATAGCTGAAAACCCCGAAATGTTAATATTTAAGGAGTTATGGCCCTTTTAAAATATTGAATAATTCATGCCTCAATTTCTCAAGAAATCCATCTGTGTTAAAAAATTCTTTAAAAACATTCTTAACATTTGGAAGGTTCGGTTAAAGAAAACTTAAACATTCTGGGTTACGGTATGAGGATCCTTGTTGAAATCTTTTCAGAAGACCAAAATTTTAGTTGGAAGTATCCTTGCAGACATATTCTTTAAAAAATATCCACGCTTATAGTTGTTTCGTTCTTGTTCAGAAATTCTTTAAAAAACGAGTCTATAGTTGGGAGCGTCCTTTTTAAAAAAATCTTGAAAATCACCTCTTTTTAGATGAGGGGTTACTAGTTGAAAAAAGCATAAAAAATCACCGCTTTGAGGTAGGAAGGTCCTTGTTTAAAAAAGTCTTAAAAAACGGGATTTTAGTAAGGAGAATTCTTTTTGAAAAGTTCTTAAAAATATCACGTTAGTGGGTTGAAAGGTCCTATTGGAAAAATTACTAAGAAATCTATGGTTATACTTTCGAGGGTCCTTGTTGTTATTGTTGTTGTTTCTCAAAAAAATCCATCCTAGTGGTATGGAGAGGTCCGTGTTAAAAAAATCTTTCAAAACGGAAGGTCCTTGTAAAAAAATCTCAAACGTTCAAGGCTACAGTAAAGGAATCCTTGTTGAAATCTTCTTAGCAAAACCAGAATTGTACTTGGGAGGGTCCTTGCAGATATATTCTTAAAAAATATCCACAATTGTATCTGTTTGGTCCTTGTTCAAAAATTCTTTAAAAATCGAGTCTATAGTTGGGAGAGTCCTTTTTTAAAAATTCTTGAAATATACCTCTTCTTAGGTGAGAGGTTCCTTGTTAAAAAAATTCATAAAAATCGCCGCTTTGAGGCAGGACCCTCCTACCTACCAATCTAAAAAATGGGATTATAATAAGAAAGATCCTTCTTCAACAATTTCTTAAAAATGCCCCGCTAATGGGTTGAAAGGTCCTTTTGTTAAAATTCTTAAAAAAAACTCGGTTATACTTTCAGGGGTTCTTTATGAAAATTTCACAAAAAATTCAACCTAGTGGTATGGAGAGGTCCGTGTTAAAAAATTCTTTAAAAACACACTTAACGTTTGGAAGGTTCGGTTAAAGAAAAATTAAACATTTAAGGTTACGGTATGGGGATCCTTGTTGAAATCTTCTTAGCAAAACCAAAATTGTACTTGGGAGGGTCCTTGCAGATATATTCTTAAACAAAAATTCACGCTTAAAGATGTTTGGCTCTGGTTCAAAAATTCTTTAAACATCAAGCCTATAGTTAGGAGAGTCCTTTTTTAAAAATTCTTGAAAAGTACCCTTTTTAGGTGAGAGGTTCCTTGTTAAAAGAATTCAATAAAAAATCGTCGCATCGAGCTAGGAGGGTCCTTGTTTAAAAAATCTTAAAATTCGGGATTTTAGTAAGAAGGATCATTTTTGAAAAATTTCTTAAAAATTACACGTTAGTGGGTTGAAAGGTCTTTTTGTTAAAATTCTTAAAAAAAAAATCAGTTATACTTTCATGGGTTCTTTTTGAAAATTTCACAAAAAAAATCCAAACTAGTGTTATGAAGAGGTCCTTCTTGAAAAATTCTTTAAAAACACACATATAGTTCGGAAGGTCTTTGTAAAAAAAAAATCTTAAACATTCACGGTTACGGTAAGGGGATCCTTGTTGAAATTTTTTCAGCAAAGCCATGATTATTGTTGGGAGGGTCCTTGCAGACAAATTCTTTAGAAATATCCACACATATAGTTGTCTGGTCCTTGTTCAAAAATTCTTCAAAAATCGAGTCTGTAGTTGAGAGCGTCCTTTTTAAAAAAATCTTGAATTTTAGGTGAGAGGTTCCTTGTTGAAAAAAATCGCAGCTAAAAGCAAGGAGGGTCCTTGTTAAAAAAAATTCATAAAAAATTTAAAAGGTCTTAAAACCACGCTATTGTTTTGGAGAGGTCCGTGTTAAAAAATTCATCAAGCAAAAAAATACATCAAGCCTATAGTTAGGAGAGTCCTTTTTTAAAAATTCTTGAAAATCACATCTTTTTAGGTGAGAGGTTCCTAGTTGAAAGAATTCAATAAAAAATCGTCGCATAGAGCTAAGAGGGTCCTTTTTTAAAAAATCGTAAAAAAGGTATTACAGTAAGGAGGACCTTTCTTAAAAATATCACGCTTTTGACTTGGAAGGACCTTGTGGAAAAATTCTTAAAAATCCACAGTTATACTTTCGAGGATCCTTGTTGAAAATTTCACAAAAAAATCCAACCTAGTGGCACTGAGAGGTCCTTGTTAAAAAAAATCCTTTATTCAAAATATCTTCATTAAAATACACAAATTTTTTGATTTTTATTTAAATTTCATTATTTAATAAATAAAAAATATATAAACTTTATACACATAACAATAATTAATGATAAAAAATAATTAATAAACAATTATATAAAAAAAATCCTTAAAATTCCTGCAACTCATTTAAATTATCCTTTTTAAGATTTCACCTTTCCCTGCACATTATCTGCATTTCTCTTAAAATTCCTGTGGTAGGGCAAGGCCAAGGTCTGCAAATTCGAATTTCGCTGTTGGCCCTGACGATATTCCTCCAGCATTTTCACAACCTGCCAACTGGGTATGTATGAGTCGAGTAGAGATTTGGAAGATCGATTGACAAAGAAGTCGGGTATCTTTTGATAGGCCGATTTGTGGTTAGGATAATTAATTAATTTTGGTCCCATGGGCCTTTCGGTGGTGGTTAGGGTTATAAAGGACGGCGGGTAGGGAAAGGTTTTCGCCGAGTAGGGTAACTGCCTATCGTTTACAAAACGCATTGGCGCATATATCACCTGTTTAGAATGTCTGGGTCCCAATGGTGGTGACAAAGTGAGCGGCGGTGATGGTGGGCCATAAACCACGGCTGGTTGGCGAGCTATGTGGTTACCAAATTTCGGTGCCGTTCCTGGCTGATAGTGTGGCCGGCTGTTGGCTTGGTGGGGAGGGCGTTGGAGATGGGGTGATGCTTCGTTGCCAGTTGCGTGTGACACAATTGCAGGCTGACGCTGCCTCTGGTGGTGTAAGTTTGGCTGCACCGTTGCCTGGGGGCTGGTGGTGTATGGCCGAGGGGTGGTTGTTGGTGGTGGGGACAGATTTATGTTTGGTGACTCTATGCTTGGAGTAATGTATGTTGTTGCCAATGGTTGTTGTTGTTGTTGTGGTTGCCTGTGCTGTTGTTGTTGATAGGCAATTTGGGTTTCTTGCCGCAATGAATGTCCATGCACCGAGGCATGTTGTTGCTGGAGTTGTTGTTGTTGTTCTTCTTCTTCTTCTTGTTGTTGCAATTGTTGGTAATACAAATGTAGTTGTTGTTGTAATTTTTGATAGTGCAACTGTTGAGGATTTGCAAGTTGAACCGCAGCTTGTTGACGATGCGGCTCCTTGCCGTAATGGTAGTGGTGTTGTTGCTGTTCCCTCTGCTGCTGCTGCGGCGAATTGTCATCGGTGTAACTGTAAAACGAAAAAAATGTAGAAAAACATGAAAATTTATTAATATTTTTGTGCAAATGAAATAACTTGCAATGATTTTAATCGCTCTTCTCAACACCAGCTCTTACAAATCGTCATGTTATTCAACAACAACAACAACATAGTACCCCCTCTGAATGGGGGGCAATAAAAAAAAGTGTCCGCATGTGTTAGCGTTATTTGGCCAAAATGTGGTTTAGTTATTGGTTAACAACCGGGCAATTTAAGCAATTTGCTGGAGAAGAGCAAAAAAAAACGTTGTTTTCATTGCCTCAATGACATTTGACGGCTTTGGCACGTTCATCGAAAACCCACAAAACACAAAAAATTGTTGGCAATTTTCTACTGGTCTTTGCCACTATTTTTTTTACCCCTCCCCTGAACATCTGCTAAATCTTTATTAGCTCTAAATCCTTGGTTTTTGAGAGATTGAGAAATCAAATTTTTTAAATTCAAAATAAAAATTTGGGATAAGATAAGAGCAAGTGATCAAGCTACTGGATTTGGGAGGGGAAACAGTGGCACAAAACAAAAGACTTAGGAAACGAACTTTTGGATTGAAATTTTGAAAAATATTTTTTAATATTTTTTAACGATATTTGGACGAAGACACAATCTGGGGGGTTTGGAGCGATTTTTTTGATGATTTTCGAGGGGGAACAGTGGCACAAAACAAAAGACTTAAGAAACGAACTTTTGGATTGAAATTTTGAAAAAAATATTTTTTAACATTTTCTTTGAGATTTTTTAACAAAGACACAAACTGGGGACTTTGGGGCTAAAAGAGCGACTTTTTTTGAGAATTTTCGAGGGGCAACCTTGGCACAAAACAAAAGACTTAGGAAACGAACTTTTTGATGGAAATTTTGAAAAAATATTTTTTAATATTTTTTAAAGATTTTTTTAAACAAAGACACAAACTGGGGCCTTTGAAGCTAAAAGATCGATTTTTTTTTGAGAATTTTTCGAGGGGGAACAGTGGCAGAAAACAAAAGACTTAGGAAACAAACTTTTTGATTGAAATTTTGAAAAAAAAAATATTTTTTTAACATTTTCTTTTAGATTTTTTTAAAAAAGACTCAAACTGGGGCCTTTGGAGCTAAAAGAGCGACTTTTTTTGAGAATTTTCGAGGGGGAACAGTGGCACAAAACAAAAGACTTAGGAAACGAACTTTTTGATGGAAATTTAAAAAAAAATATTTTTTTTTATATTTTCTTTGAGATTTTTTAACGAAGACACAAAACTGGGGCCTTTGGAGCTAAAAGAGCGATTTTTTTTTGAGAATTTTCGAGGGGGAACAGTGACACAAAACAAAAGACTAAGGAAACCAACTTTTTGATTGAAATTTTGAAAAATATTTTTTAAAATTTTTTATTTAACGATTTTTGAACAAAGACACAAACTGGGGCCTTTGGAGCTAAAAGAGCGATTTTTTTTGAGAATTTTCGAGGGGAAACAGTGGCACAAAACAAAAGACTTAGGAAACGAACTTTTTGATGGAAATTTTGAAAATTACTTTTTAATATTTTTTTTAAATTTTTTTAACAAAGACACAATCTGGGGCCTTTGGAGATAAAATATCGATTTTTTTAGAATTTTCTAGGTGGGACAGTGGCACAGAACAAAAGACTTAGGAAACAAACTTTTTGATGGAAATTTTGAAAAATATTTTTTTAACGATTTTTTAACAAAGACACAATCTGGGGCCTTTGGGGCTAAAAGAGCGGTTTCTTTGAGAATTTTCGAGGGGGGACTGTGGCACCAAACAAAAGACTTAGGAAACGAACTTCTTGATTGAAATTTTGAAAAAAAAATATTTTTTAATATTTTTTAACAAAGACACAATCTGGGGCCTTTGGGGCTAAAAGTGCGATTTTTTTTTTTGAGAATTTTCGAGGGGGAACTGTGGCACGAAACAAAAGACTTTACGATGGAAATTTTGAAAAATATTTTTTAATATTTTTTAACGATATTTGGACAAAGAAACAATCTGGGCCTTTGGACCGATTTTTTTTAGAAACGAACTTTTTGATTAAAATTAAAAAAAAATATTTTTTATATTTTCTTTCAGATTTTTTTTTAACACAGACACTAACTGGCGCCTTTGGAGCTAAAAGTGCGATTTTTTTTTTGAGAATTTTCGAGGGGGAACAGTGACACAAAACAAAAGACTTAGGAAACAAACTTTTTGATTAAAATTTTGAAAAAAAAAAAAAATATTTTTTTATATTTTCTTTGGAGCTAAAAGTGCGATTTTTTTGAGAATTTTCGAGGGGGAACAGTGGCACGAAACAAAAGACTTAGGAAACAAACTTTTTGATTGAAATTTTGAAAATTATTTTTTAATATATTTTTTTAATTTTTTAACAAAGACACAAACTGGGGCTTTTGGGGCTAAAAGAGCAATTTTTTGAGAATTTTCGAGGGGGAAGTGCGGCACGAAACAAAAGACTTAAGAAACGAAGTTTTTAATTGAAATTTTGAATAAAATATTTTTTAATATTTTCTTTAAGATTTTTTAACAAAGACACAAACTGGGGCCTTTGGGGCTAAAAGAGCAATTTTTTTGGAGAATTTTCAAAAGGGAAACAGTGGCACAAAACAAAAGACTTAGGAAACGAACTTTTTGATGGAAATTTTGAAAAAAAAATTTTTATATTTTTAAGATTTTTTTAATAATTTTCGAGGTGGAACAGTTGCACAAACAAAAGACTTAAGAAACGAACTTTGGGACGGAAATTTTGAAAAATATTTTTTAACATTTTTTTTGAGATTTTTTGACAAAGACACAAACTGGGGCCATTGGAGCTAAAAGTGCGATTTTTTTTGATAATTTTCGAGGGGGAACATTGGCACAAAACAAAAGACTTAGGAAACGAACTTTGGCATTAAAATTTAGAAAAATATTTTTTAATTTTTTTTTTCGAGGGGCACAAAACAAAGGACTTAGGAACAAAGTGGCACAAAACAAAGGACTTAGGAAACGAACTTTTTGATGGAAATTTTGAAAAATATTTTAAATTTTTTTTAACGATTTTTGAACAAAGACACAATCTGGAGCCTTTGGAGCTAAAAGTGCGATTTTTTTTGAGAATTTTCGAGGGAGAACATTGGCACAAAACAAAATTTTTCAAGAATTTTAGAACACGGACCCTCTCATGTGATTTTTTTTTAAGATTTCTCAACTAGAACCCTTAGAGCTATAAGGGTGATTTTTTTTTAATTTTTTAAACCAAAGATCCCTGGCCACAATAGCCTGGAATTCAAAAGAAGAAACATCCTATGAATTTTGCGAACGGGGAATTTTACCCCAAATAATTGGATTTTTTTTTATTTTAGTAATTATTTTTTATATATTTATTGCATTAATGAATTATTAATTCATAGATTCATTTGTTTAATTATAATTTTTTTATGAATTTATATATTTTTTATTTTTTTCTTGTTTATTTATTTATTATTTATATATTTTTATCTGCAAAGTTATTTATCCTATTGCATTTATTTATTTTTTTAATATAATTCTTAACTAACTTCTTTTTTTATTTATTTATAATTTAATTTTATTTTTTTTAATTTTATTTTTTTTTCTTTTTGGAAAGTCAACACGTGCTTCCTAATAAAATCCCAGCTGTACTCCAAAAGAAAACCTATAAACCCCTTGGAAAAAAACTATAAACATTACTTCCTCAGAACACGAAATCTTTCAATTTTTTCCATAAAACATATTTATTTCTTGTTACCACTCACACCGTCACATTAACTTTATGACTAGAGTGGCTTAAAAACATTAATTGGATTAAATCCGGTATGTGCTTTATTATTGCAAACGCTTATTTAGGTTAATTTTTTTTTTGCTTTGGTTTTGATATTAGTCATATGCTAGCAAAAAAAAAAATCATATTTAATGTGGCACAAAAATAAAAGCAAATATGCAAAAATAAATCTGGTTTAGGAATGCGAACATTTTTCTCCACAGGTAAGGTTTTTACTTTCTGCGTGGTACAATATGAAAGAACTTGCTAAATTTTTACATTTGTAAAGCAAAAAAAAAAAAAAAACAAAAAAATTTGGTAAAAATTGCTAGACTAGTAGTTTCTTGCAGGTTCTGAAATTGAATATTTGAAGGTTTGTGTATTAAGTCTTTTATATTTTTTTATATATTTTTTGCAATGTTTTATTTTTCCCTCTCTGAGAGATAATAAATAATTGTCTTTCATTTAGCTTTTAGTAAGTTTTGGCGAAGAATTGAAAAAAAATTATTCTTAAATTTTTTTCTTTAATTTTTTAATCGATATTCATTATTAGATATTTGAATTTTCCTCTATTTTTACCTCCTTACACGAGTTTCGTAACGCACATCAACAACCCAGTTAAGAATTAAAGTTTGCGTCCTAAGTCTTTTGTTTTGGATTAATATTGTTGTGCTCTAATCTAGAAACTCTCTCTCTCTCTCTCTTCCATATATGTTTTCCTTTTCTTTGAAATATCATAAATAAATAAATAAACTTTCATGTAGGTCATGTAGAGGGATTTGTGGTTTATTTTTGATTTATTTATTTTATATCTCAACTATTGTCGATAGTTGTTAGCAGGGATTTAATTTTTTAACATAGATTTTTATTTTTTTTTTTATTTAACACAAGTTCTCCATTCCCTTCCCTTAACACGAGTTTAAAAAAGTTTCATTGAAAAAAAGGAAAGTTTGTGTCCTAAGTATTTTGTTTTGATTACCATTGCTGAGCTCAAATCCAGAAGCTCTCTCACTCCCTCTTACCCGTTTCTCTTTCCTTTGGACTGAATAATAAATAAATAACGTTTGTGTTCTAAGTCTTTTTCAGACTTCTTTTGTAAAATTTACAGTCGTAAATACACATCTCTCACATTTTGTTTCAGAGAAACTTTTTTAAGGTTCTCATTACGAAAAACAAGAGTTCACACTTTCATTTACGTCATGTTGATAGCTGTTGTTGTTATTGAC